GTTTTTTTTTTTTTTTTTTTTTTTATCTCATCAGTTCAACGGTGCCGCCCCGAGAGCGCAGGGGAGGGAGCTGTCAGGAAAACCCTGCGTGAGGCCGGTGTTTTTACAAACCGGTGCAAGGGGTGGAGGTGCAAAAAGTAGCGAGAATAGCTTTGTGTTTTGTATTTAGTGTGGGGTTTGTTGTGAGAAGAACATTGATAACGCGCTGACGTTTGTAGTTGTTAAGGAGGCTTCAAGGACTTTTCCGTTTCCCAGGTTTTGCCAGCGTGCAGGTGCACGGCAGGCTGGGGGGCAGCATAGCCAAAACAAAGGACCCACAACTGCCCTTATGATACGAGTTAGAGCAAGCAGTTACAAGAGGCTTCACTTAAGAGCTTAGCTTAGATCAATGTTTTTTCCTACCCAGAAAAATAACCTTGACATCTTCTTAGTGTTCTTTAAATGTAAAGATAAATTTTATGAAGGTCGTAGGTGTAAACTGAAGCTTCACTTTATAAGTCAGCAAGCACATTAACAGAGGAGAACAACATAGTTGGCCCCAAGATTGTAGCTGGGGATTTTAGAATTAGGTTATGCGTACCCCTGGATAGAAAGTTACAAAGTAGATGAGAACACAGAAGGAGGTGTGGATGCTTATCAAGTTGTTTTGTTTGTTTTTTTTTTTTTCTGAACTTCCTTGCATGTTTGTATAAAAAAACCCAAAACACAATTTGAAACTCTAAAACTACATGCAACATGGTAATGACGTATGGCCAGAATGAGCTCCTCTGGTTCTAGCCCTAGCAACAGCACCAGGAAATTCTTTCCTGCAGAGCAGTTCCAGTTTTTTTATTTTCATATAATGAGTACTTGTTTGTTCTTTGTTGCCAATAGAAAGCTCAATTCAAGAAAAATAAAAAGTATGATTTAAATCTGAATATGTACCTCTGAAACTGGGATGTGTACATCTGAGGGTTTACTTCAGCTTTGAAACCTCAGGCCTCTGCAAAGAACACTGTTATTGTATGTCATTGTCGTGTTTGATAGTTGCATGTTACTGGTCAGCTGTTCAAATACAGTTGTATGATTTTGGAACAGATGCAGAACAAAGCAAGAAATCTGCTATTCTAAGAATATTTCCTTTGCCTGCCAAGGCTTTGTAATAGTGCGAACAAAAACAGCTGAAAGGAATAGTTCAAGAATAGTCATAGCTAGTTTTCTCTTCTGTGTTCTTCACCTTCTCTCTCTATGCAAGAGCAGAAGGTGGCAACTTAAGAAGAGCATAATGGAAGTCTGTAACTGAATCTTTTCTTTCTGACATTTTTTTCTGACGTTTTCTTTGATTAAAACCACAGTCTGTACTACTTAGACCACAAGCATAGCTGAAGAATTCCTGCAAAGATAAGCCTGTACCATCTTTTCCTACTGTCTCAAATATAAAGATATGAGGAATGTTTCAGAATATGGAAGACATCAGGAAAAATTGCAGGAAAAGGTATACATCCCAGACTAAAATACAGTAAAAGATTTCTTACAAACAGCCTTTTTGTACAAAAATGTAGGTATGGGAAATTTAGTCAACATTAGCAGATTCCAAAGTTGGAATAATAATTAAAAAAAAAAAAAAAAAAAACCTTAAAAAATATTTGTGGACTTTTTTCACTTATGTTAACCAGGCCCTGATCTTGAGCTGTTGAAATAAAGAAAAAAACAAACAAGCAAAAAAACCAGAAAAAACAACAGTGATAAAGCAGGACAATGAAAACCAAGAAAAAGTCAACCCAGCTTTCTGTTAGCCGTTTCCTCAGATATCCATTAACTGATGCTAGCCACGTGTGAGCAATCTCTTAGCATTGGTTCCAAACGTTGTCAGGGGCTCTGAGTGCCCTAATATGCCTTAACGACCTTGACCAGCTTCAGCTGGGGCTTCTGCCCGCACCTCTGCCCTCAGGTGCAGGAACTCCATTTAAGCTCTGGCCTGGGTTTCAGTCCCTCTCTGAGCTCTGTTGTGGTTGTTCCTGTGATTTTGTGTCTGTGAGTTTGCCTGGGCTCTCTGCACACCCTGGTTGTTGCCTCTTAGTGCCTCGTGTATCTTGCCATGAGCAGTGGGACAGGGCTGTGGCTGGTGTGGCTCCTGCTAGCCTGGGTACCTGACTTGGCTCTCTCTTCATTAAGAAGCAACCGGACCTTGCCATTCGTGTGATGACAGATTGTTAGAGGAACGACTGCTGAATACTTAGGTAAGGCCAAGTTTGTTGACAGATGTATCTCTTTTTAGATTTTTTTGTGGCTCAATATAAATGTTTTAGTTCATATCCACTTTGGAAGTGTTAAATGCGTTTGAGGCTGTGCATAGGAAGTGGACAGGCTTGACTAGTGTGAAAACATTGTGCTGGCAAATATAGGCAGAGAGGCAAAGCCAGCATAGGCAGCGGAAACTTTTGTAGCATTTTAGTGGTTTTGTTTTTCTCTGAGAATCATTCTGCTCTCTAATTCACCAGGGTCTCTTCCTAAATATTTATTAGAAACAAAACAAGGTGTCACTGCACAGCCTTTGTAACAGTTCAAGAAATCTGTAGGTATAGTAGTAACATTGTTTCAAATGGCATTGCTCTGATGCATTAGAATGGATCAACAAACAGTTTGCTAAGCAGTCTGCTACAGACAGATGTTAGTGACTCACACGTGTCTAGAGCTAATAAATACTGATTGAGTTCTGCTGGCCTGATAATGATTGCTGCAGTACCTGACTAGGTATGGAGGCTCTGTGAGAAAATTAGAGATTGCCCAGTGAAAGGGTAAAGGGCAGTCTCTGTTTCTGTGTTGGTGGTGATAGTACACATAGATGGTGAAGTCCTTTCCAGAACATCTAACTGCACAAGTGATCCCCCTGTGTAGTATTTTAGCACATGCCCCTACTTGCCTAGTCAAAAAAAAGTGCACTTTTCTGAAGATATCTTCTGAATTCAGTTTTGCTTTGGGAACTTATTTTTTTTAGTTCTGTTTCAATTCTTACCTGTGCTTACTCCTTCCTTTTGTTTTGTTGTGTTTTCCTACATTAATCATGAATCTTCTACTTTCATAACCATGTTGTCTTTGTTACTAGTATTCCTCCCAATAACGTATCATGTATTTCTTCCAACTTTGTCCTGCTTTTTCATTCCTTCTCACTGTTTACTCCTTGCTTGTGTGCTACTCTTTGGTTTTTGTATTGCTGTGCATCTTTAGACACTCATGTAGTGACACACAGAAGTCACCTTCTGAGATGCAGGTCACCTACTTCACGCTTCTTTCTTTTCCCCAGTGAACTATTACAGTGAGGACAGTAATTGTCCTTCTGACCTTTGTCTGTTGCTCATGACTTGCAACATAATTGCTTTCCTCAGAGCTGCTATTTATTAACCAGATTTTGCCTCTGTCGTGACCCAGCCAGCAACCAAACACCATGCAGCTACTTGCTCACCCTCCCCTGCCCCGGTGCATGGGGAAGAGAATCAAAGGGGTGAGGGTGAAGAAGACTTGTAGGTTGAAACAAGAACAATTTAATAATTGAAATAAAATAAAATTAAAAGTAATAATGACAAAATAATAATAATAGAATATACAAATGAATCATGCTCAGTACAAATGCTTACCACCCACTGACCAATGCGTGTCCCATCACTGGCTAGTGATCCCAGAGGAGAGAAATCCTGAAACTGTAACCCTGGAAAAGAGAGTGAGCTTCCTGGCCAACCCTTAGCTATATACTGAGCATGATGTTGCATGATATGGAATATTCCATTGGCCCATTTGGGCCTAAGCCCACATCTTAAGCCAGGGATTATGAGTCTGTTGCTCTGGCCGTGCTTCCTCCCAGCTTGTTGTGCACCTGCATGCTTACAAAGCATGGAAAGTTGAAAAGTTCTTGATTTCTTAACAACAACTAAAACCATCAGTATATTATCAACATTCTTCTCATACCAAATCCCATACTGAACCCAAAGCACAGTGCTGTTCTAGCTACTAAGAAGAAAATTAACTCCATCCCAGCCAAAACAAGGACAACATAGCACTCAATAACTTTTGATTTTTAGCAATCGCTGAAGTAAAGACCATCACAAACTGAGGGAAACAGATTGTTGTTGCTGTTACATGAGAAGAAAATGGCAAACAAGTTCAGGAATTCAAATCTGGCATATTAACTGTCCTCAGTGGGGTTGCATTTTTTTTGCAAACTAGGAAAAAAAAGTCTGTTAAAGAACACGTAGCTATGTGTAAGTAAACTGAAGGTATTTTACTTCTGCAATGAGTTTTTCATTTTGCCTTGTCTGCATTCAATCTTCATCTATACAAGTTTGTATTTTCTGATTATACCCACAATAAGCTCCTAAATCCTTCTGAAAAGATATGCTGCAAACCCACAACATAATCTTATAATCGTTTTATAAATGTATCTCAAGATGTCAGTTCTAACATTTTAGTTAGGGCTATGAACCCTGAGCTACAACAAAAAGTAAGTATGTGCCATCTGAATCAAGATGTATTTGTTCTGGGAAGTAATGAAATGTACTGCATCTGCTACTACTGTACAGGATCATAAATATGCAAATGAGCCACAAGTTGTTTTGCTTGAGGATGAAAAGGTATTTGTGAGACAAGAAAGGACAAATATTTATTCAAATACTTGAAATAGTGACCATTTGTATATGCTGTATTGGCTATCACTAGATTAATTTAAACACAAGCTGAGAG